TGTCATATTGCAGTACCTTACTTCAGCATGAAGTTTCTTTGTTCAAAATCTGGGACAACCAAAATGCAGCCAAATTGCTTCTGAGCTAACAGGGCGCTTCCTGCAAGCGCCCTGTTAGCTCAGGAGCAATATCTGTTGGAGCAGATCCCCAGCACGCCAAAACACTGCAAAACACCAGCAAAACGGAGCGCAAGCCAGCAAAAACCACCAAAACCCTAGCAAAAACAACCATTCTGAAGCAAAAACCAGCCAAACGCTAGGGAAAATAGCAATTCTCAGTAAGCCTCGGTAAGCCTCGGTAAGCCTTGGCAAGCCTTGGCAGGCCTCGATAAATGCAGGCTTTCAGGCAGTTTCCCCGCCCATGTCAGCAGATTGATGGACTGACACGGTTTTCGTCCCACCAAACAACGCACACATCCCCGCAAACAGGGCGCGGTCACCGAGAAACAAATGTTATGTTACATGTGATTCAGGGTCCTCAACAAAAACTCAAACTGAAACCACCTTTCCTGACAACTCCCATTGATAATCAAGCCGCTGACGGGACCGTTTCGATGACATTAGCTTCGCCACCCATTTGGGCTTGACATTGGGATCCTGGTTCTCCGCATCCACCAGCCACTCAGCCGTGCTCGGGTCCTGGACAAGCTTCCAGCGGGTCGTCGTCGGAAGCTCGATTGCTCTCTGGCGATAGAAGAGGGACTGGCTGCCATCCGAGTAGGCAACGAGGACTGGCTGATCTATCTCCTCTGCTGAAGAGAAGTCGTCCTGCAAGCTTCCGGAGCTCTCTCACAAAAACCAAAACAACTGACCCGATGTCCTCGTCATCATCTGCCGGCAGGCGCGGCACCAGTGCGGTCGACGTAAGACCTGGGCCTGCGTTCACAAAACTTAGGCAGAGGAACAACCCCAAAAAACAACATGCAAAACCCACCCACTCCAACCTGCAGCACCGGACATACCAGGAAGCAGGGCGGATGCAAGTGCAACTCCGGGCGCAGACGCTGCCACTGCAACGTCTTCAGTCTGCGCAGCCATGTGCTCCTCGCAATGAACCATTTCACTCTCCGAGCTCCCATCCCAGAAGTAGGCCACGCCTTCCGAGAAGACAACGACATAGTAGCCGGTAGCCGTCGCTGGCAAAGTGCAAGACGCAATGTCTTCCCCTGTCATGGTGTTCATAGAAGTCAATGACCATTGACCCGCTTCGTCAGCACTGACCGTGTACACGGTGGCAATGACGGGCACGGCGTCTGACGCTGTTGCTGCGGCAGATGCCGCTGGCTCCCAGGCAATTGCCGGCGTTCCCGTTCCCGGCGCCGGTGGTGCCGGTAGTGCTGGTGGTCCTCCTGGTAGCGACAAAGATACACTCTAGACTTCAGGGTGACGGGGCTACAGGCAGGAAGGGTTGAGGTCCTGGGCCCAGAATCGCGTTCGTCGGGACACCGGGGTGTCGCGGGCGGCCTCCGTTCGCCATCTCCGTGAAGTATTGGATGACGAGTCGAACTGCTTCTTCCGGTCCCACCACTTGCGTGGACATTGGCCTTCCCAATCGGTTCCACTCGTCCCTGAGGTTGCGGATCAGCTCGTCTTTGTCGTGACTGAAGGGCAAAAATTCGGAGCAAGTCAACACCCCAAACCCCCTTTACAAATCCCAAGTCTAGATTCCTCTTCAGGGTTCAGGGTTAGGGCGGTTGTTTTTTTTTTCAGTTTATGGTGCCTCGGGAGGCGGTCTGTTGGGCATAGGCCCGTCAATACGAACAAGTAGGCTAGGAGACTGTCTCGCGACAGTCTCCCGCAGAAGATCAGCGTCAGCGAGGGGCACAGGGCATTGATCCAGTCCGAGATGTACTGGCTCTCGGCAACAAGTTACATTCAGCGACAGCGCAAGGATCGAAAACCCCGGTCTTGTTTTCAATCCAATCGAGTTCCAACATAAACAACTATATGCTGCAGCTTTACACAGAATCATGAATCAGGTGCAAGACACGGGCACGTGCGACACAGTGGTGTAGCTGGATGAGTACTTGGTGATGTCATGTCTGCGGCCACCGCCTGCACTGTAAGGCCTGCCGCCAGGGCCCTTGGCTTTAGCCATGCCACGCGTACTCACGGGGTCTGTTCCCGAAACGAATCCACCAGGCCACCTCAAAACAGCAATCGCAGGGGTTCAGAACGTTGAACAGCTTCAACGTGGTGTGCGCAGGGGATTTCAGCTGAGATACGTGATGGCAGCGGTGGGCAAAGCCACAGCCATAGATGCAGCAGGCGGCGCTGTCATCGCGGGGGCTGCTGTTGCCGCTGCTGCCGGCGGAGCCACATACGGAACCAGAGCGCCAGCTGCTGCGGCCACGCTCGTTGCCGGCGCAGGGGGCCGGGCTGCTGGCAACGCTGGCCTGGGGCCAGGCGGCACCAGAGCAACCTTGGCGGTTGCCTTGGGGGGCGCTTTGGTTGTGGCTTTTGGCAGCCGCGTCGCTGGTGGCATGATGGCTTCGCTGTCGATTCCTTTACCGCGACGACCCGCAATCCTTGATTGAGCCTCGACCTCATGAGGGGAACAGCGTGCCGCAAAACTGCTGCCATGTGACCTGCAACAACTGCACTGCAGAAGACAATCAGAACGCTGGCAAGGACTGATGGCCACTATTTTCTGTCCACACGCAAGAAAGAGTTTCGGTTATCATTTCTCATTAGTACCGAAAGAAGTGGCATTCGCCACCTAGAAGAGGCCCGTGCTCCTGCCGGCCAAAGCAGCTGAGTCCAAGGAGCAAAATCACAGCAATCTGAGTCAGGTGCATGGCATTGCCTACCACCGAAGCAGACCTCTCCACGTCCGTGACCGGGAGACACCTCGTGCCCATTGCCTCAGCAGCCTCCGCGTTTACAGGCCACCCCATAGATGCCAACTTATCACACGGAGTCATGAGACGGAGGCTGGCCCTGTGCAGATAGAACCCAGAGTTGCGGCGGTACGTCGGCAAACGTCCGGAAGTGGCTGACCATGTCCTGGTATGCTCGTACCGGTCACCCAGGAAGTAGATCAGGTCTTCTACTTTGGCCGGGTGCTTCTGGTACATGTGCACATAGTCCAGGTCGAGCTGATGCACCAAAAATCGTTCACGCTCGTTCAACAACCAGTAGTCGTCCGAATGGCCCTGCGCGGCAGGACCATTGCATCATCTCAAACAAACGCAGACACAGCCTGGCACCTGCCACCTTCACTGCACCGAAACACCAAATTCACCTCTCTAATCGCATCCCAGATGCCGGCACGAAGTCCATCTTGCGCGTTCTGCAAATCTGCTGCTGAAACAAAGTGCGCAAATGCTCAGGGGCCACCATATAATCACGAGGTTTCGTCTGCACAAAGTCTCGGATGTCCTGCGAAATGAAGTAGTGCATCTCGTGCACATCCATGATGTAGCTGCACGTCTGCTTGTGTGCACAAAAGACATATGTGCGTGCACGGGACACGCCCGCATGGCCAACATCCGCAGGGTCCACAAACAGCTGATGCAAGTGGTAATCTGTGGAGAGGAGGTGACCGATCATATCCATAGGCATATCCTCGGCAGGGAACACTTGCAAACATACTGGGTTGAAAGAAGACGGCTCACCAGCAGCAGGAACAACAACAGCGGCAGCAGCGACAACAACAACAACAACAACAACAGCAACAGCAACAACAACAACAACACAAACAGCAGCTTCAGCAGCAGCAGCAGCAACAACAACAACAACAACAACAACAACAACGACGACAGCAACAACAACCACAACCACAACAACCACAACGACGACGACGACGACGACGACGACGACGACGACGACGACGACGACGACGACGACACGGGAAAAAACGACAACGACAGCGCCAACAGGACGCACAAAGACTGCGCTGAGCTTCCGGTGTGTTCTCTATGATCAACAAAGGTGTGCGCAGATGGCGGTGCTTCTTTGCCCAAACCATGTACACCGGGACGAACCTGCCGTCCTGCAGCTTGCGCTTGATGTTGGCGCGGCTGTTGTCCTGGCATGGAAGGCCGGACACATCCACATCCACGGTCCTTACGGCGGAGCAACACTGGCCGTGCTGAAAGCAGTACTGCACTTTCTGCAGGTGGGCACGGTTCACATCATCCAGCTTCTCGAAAAACGTGCCGACTTCACGAATGCTGCCCCTGGGAAGCTGTTCCAGGACATCTCCGAAAACACACGGTGCTCCGTGTGGCTCAGACAGCCAAGATCTAGTCCACATGTTGTGATCATTCAGAATCTGGCGGCATTTGGCATCTATCTCCTCAGCTATACCCGACATGTAACCTGCAGGCTCCCGCAAAGCTTCCCAAAAAAAGGCAGCGGGTGCAAACCAAGAGACGTGGCACGAAATTGCATGGATGCCACCCATAGCGGCTCCCGGACAGCACTGGGCCACAGTCTCCTGCACGATTGCTGCGGCCACTTCTGCCGTACCCACCCCGGAGCACGATGTAGACAATTGAGTGAGGCTCTGTCCAACGAAGGTTGCCTTACTTCAGCAAGGCACCGTTGCTACTGACTCTGATTCTGAACACAAGAATAACCAACTCCGCCCAGCGTGACATTTGATTGCTGCTCCGGAACACTCTTCAACACTCGTCCAGGCATCCGCGATCTGATAGTGGCCCAAGCTATACGCACAGCCCTAGCTGCCAGAGTCAGGCGTGCTTCTTTGCCAGTCACCTCGGCTTCGGGTTTGGCTTAGCGATTTCATCATTTGGGAAACACTGTCCGAAACGAGAGTGCCGCAACTGTTGCAACCAGCATGCTTCCAGAGGTGGGTCTGCAAGCAAAGTAGAAGAAGTTGAGCGTGTAGGCACGGGCTCGTCATCACAATCGGAATCCCAATGGCCACTCTGTGTGTGGCGATCAGGACCCGAAGAGGCCATGCGTGCGATTGTGCACAACACAGTACTCAAAAGATTGACCCTTGAGGTTGTGTTCGGCCCCACGCTTCTGATCCAACGGATCGACAACATGCTTCTCACAATAGTTCGTCCTCTGTTGAAATACTACTTTTTCTGTGAAGCTACATACCTACAGCCGTGTGTGTGAATGCTGTGACAATGCCTGCAGCCGCAGAATGCAAAGGTGCGATAGAGACAACAGCACTGACGCAGATCGGCGCAACTGCAAAACCAGTCAGTTTACGGAATGTCGGTCTGGGCCGCGGACGACAGGTGGGGCGTACGCCCCTGCAAGCGTGTTGTTGCTGTACCAGAAGAAAATCTCCACAGGCTTCATGGCGTTGTCGGAGCCGTCGAAAAGAACCTCATTCCGCCACACACTAATCGTCCGTTGTGCTTAGATGGTTTTGCAACGAGGCCGTGTTAAGACTGCCGACAAGGAGCTTTCAGGTGGCGTTCGCCAGCAAGTTCTGTTCGTGCCCGAACCAGGTAGACCATCTTAGTTGCACACGTGGCAAGAGCATCTAGCGGTTCATCCATTTTCTGGCTTTCCGGAGCTAGCAGCTAGTCTGCAATCAGGTTGCACTGATCCGGTAAGCGGCTTTCGTGACACTCGAGACACCTCCCCCAGCAGCGGCAATGGCTTTGGAAATCCAACGCTCCTGACAAACACTGATCTGACACAAAGCCACGGACTTAATCAAGGGTGGCATGACTGCTGCAGTTGTCCTCTTGCGAAAACAAGAGCTCGCTCACCCTTCCGCAAATCTCCCAAACGACTGCAGCGGACGTTCTCTTCGCTGGTTTCCGACGCCTGAAACACCTCATCAGATCATTTGCAGCCTTCTTCTTGGCTGCCGCCCGCGGCCTAGCTCCAGACTCTGACACAAACTGATACTCCATGGTCACTGCTCTCATGTGGCCATCTATGAATGACGCCAGCTGCGTCAACAGCGACAGCGCTGCCGATTGCATCTTTGTCTTTGCAGAAAAAGTTTCTGGTGCCTGTCTGCGCAAGTCACGTGTGATGTCCATGGTCCACAGCACAAAGTCAGCGGGGTGAATTCTCGGAGGCACGGAAGTCACACCGATCTTCTTGTCATCAACCAAGTCTAGGCTCCACTGAAAAGCAACTAGCTTGTCAAAGAAAGGCTGCGTCCAAGGCTGAAAATCAGTAGGACGCCTCAATTCCTGGGTGGTCCATTGTCCGTGCTGCAAGTCTAGCGAGAAGTGCACATGCTGTATCCTGAAACAGCCTGTTTGGCATGCTTTGTCAAACAGTGAGCGCAAGCATCCATAAGCTAGCTTCCTAGTCTCTGCAGGCCTGGAGGAAGAGCACATGTGAAGCACATATGCTACCATCACAGACGTAGTCACATACCTGGTGGCATATTCCCCGCCACCCTTCTCTGGAGTAACGACTGGCACAGGCTGTCCCGGCCAAAGTTGCCGATGCCACTCGTCCACTGCTGGCTGCTCCTTCATGCACTTGCCCACGAGCTTATCAGCCCGGCACGTCGTGAAAAAATTGCGGCCCAGAGAGTTCAGAGCCCATTCGCATTGTGAGTCGGGCCCCCTCCGGCTGCAAACCGTCACATCCAATGTAATATCATCCGGGTTCACCCGGAAAGTGCCTGAGGTTTCACAACAGACAACAAAAATTAAGAAGGACAGCTCCTCTAACCTCGCAACCACGCACGGATTCAATTCAACGCCAACCATCTGAGCCCTTGGCGCAACTCCACAACATCATCGTCGGCAGGAGGTTCCACTTCGGGATCCATGATCACTCATGTGTTGCGCAACGAAGACACACAGTCATCATGACACTGACTGCGGATGAATTCTTTCGTTGCCGGATCCTAGTGCGACTGCGATTGATCTCCTTTGGGTCCTATTTTGTAGAAATCGGACATACTGATATGAACCGTCTGGCTGCACGGCAAGCAACATTGCAAGAACATGTTCTGCAACGAAGTGTTGATGTGCTCTGAAAGCAAGATACTCAAAAGCATGCCGTTACCAAGCTTGCATGACTACGAAAACACCTGAGAACTACTAAGCCTTAGTAAGCCCTAGCAGGCATTAGCAATGGTTGGCAAGGCTTGCCAAGGCCTAGGGAGCAGTAGACCAAAAGATCACATACCGCAGACAGCCAGAGGGCTGCTGAGGGGTAGGTTGGGGGGGGGGTTTAGAAAGCTATGACAATACGTACCCCGTAATCAAGGAGCATACCTTAAATTTATAGTTTAAGGTATATTCCCCTAAGGGTCCATGTACCCAAATAGTATATATTTTGGCCTTAAAGTAGTCCTATACAGGTACTTTGGGGTCAATGTATATACTATATACCCGAAACCCTAAACCCTAAACCCTAAACCCTAAACCCTAAACCCCAAACCCTAAACCCTAAACCCTAAACCCTAAACCATGAGTACATGGACCCTTGGGGTTCCTTCATTAAGGGGTATTGGCTTCTGTGGGTATGGACACCAGAAAGGCCTGGAGCGCATGATGCTGCCCCGTCGCCGGCAAGATGAAACTGAAGGATGCCTTCGACGAAGGCGCTTTGGGAGTTTCGGTTTAGGGCTTTTAGGGGTTTAGGGTTTAGGGTTTTAGGGTTTTTAGGGTTTTAGGGTTTTTAGGGTTTAGGGTTTTTAGGGTTTTTTAGGTTCTTGGGGTTTAATGTTCTAGGGTTTAAGGTTGAATTAGGGTTTTAGGTTTTTTGGGTTTTAGGGTTTTTTTAGGGTTTAGAGTTTAAGGTTTTAGGGTTTTTAGGGTTTAGGGTTTTAGGGTTTTTAGGGTTTAGGGTTTCAGGGTTTAGGGGCTTAAGGTTTAGGGGACAAGTGCCACGACGATGTACACGTCGATCCCCTACCCTACGATGTGCACGTCGGTAAACCCTACATCCTAAGCCCCAAATTAGACCCGACCCTACCCAGACGCAGGAGCAGGGCTTTTGCAGTAGGTTGTTATACCATGGTCGTCATTGCTAGCTAGGGTCGGGTTAAGAGGGTATGCAGGGGCTTAGGAAAACTCGAGAACCTTAAGGTGACCTAAACCCTGAGGAAACCCTGGAGATGCAAAAGCGCTCTTTTGGCCTATATGACCCCTAAATCATAACCAAGACGTATGATAAACCATATCAAACCCTGCAAAGAACCCGGTTTCAAAACCATGTTCTGACTCATTATAGGCCCATGCAAACCCCAAACCCCCACTAATCTCTAAACCCGAGACCCTGAACCCCAACCCCGAAACTCCAAGCCCGAAGCCCTAAACCCCCTATAGCCCTACAGCAATCCTGATAGCAGCCCTGGACTGTAATACTCTGAATCCCACACCCCCTTGTAGACAGCCTGAAAGGAACCCTTAACTCTAAACCCTAAGCCTAAACCCTGAACACTGATCCCTGAACCCCAAACCCTACAAAGGTACCTAAGCATTGAAAGGAACCCTTAAAGAATGAACTCTAAACCCTAAAGCCCCAAAGGCACTTGAGCCTTAGGATTCTGGAAGGAACCCTTAAAGCAGCCATTAAAGGCACTTAATATAGGGGCCTTAATAATTAGAATAGGGCTTGGGGCCCATTATGCTGTAATTATATTAAGGAAGCCCCCCCCCAAAAAAAAATAGTATAGGTATTTATTGAGGCCGCTGCTTTAATCGCATAGTGATCCTAAATCCTAAATCCTAAACCCTGAAACCCCTAAACCCTAAACCCTAAACCCTAAACCCCTAAACCCTAAACCCTAAACCCGAAACCCCAAAACCCTAAACCCTGAACCCCTAAAACCCCTAAAACTCCTAAAACCCCTAAAACCTCTAAAACCCCTAAAACCCCTAAACCCTAAACCCCTAAACCCTAAACCCTAAACCCTAAACCCTAAACCCTAAACCCTAAACCCTACTAACCCCACTAAGCCCTGGGATTTCGGATACCAAAAAGTTTAAAGTTTACCTACTGGGCTCCTAAGAAAAGTTTCCGCGGTTTTTTTTCGGAGCCTCGGCAGGCGCCTCGGCAGCCTCCATGGAGGCGAGACCGGGTCCCAGATCCTCACCGGGCTTGTTTAGGGTTTAGGGTTTAGGGTTTTAGGGTTTAGGGTTTAGGGTTTAGGCTTCAGGTAGTAAGTAGATTTTAGTGTTTAGGGTTTAGGGTTTAGGGTTTTAGGGTTTAGGGTTTCAGGGTTTAGGGTTTAGGGTTTTAGGGTTTAGGGTTTAGGGTTTAGGATTTTAGTGTTTAGGGTTTAGGGTTTAGGGTTTAGGGTCTAGGGATATATGTATATGTATGTATATAGGGCATAGTGACATAGTGATATATACATATGTTTACATACATTTTGCTCTTGAGGGCT